AAAGGATGGATCTCAACACTTGCCTCAGAATACGCCACGTACCCAACCGGTCCACCATATGGTGAGATTGAATGAATGTTTTTTTTTCGAATTTCACGATCTTTAATTCGTTCTAGAGCGCTAAATTGGCTAACCGTGCGCTGATCAACCCATTCTTCCACTCCAAATGAGAATCTTCGAACAGTTTCCAGCAGTAGTAGTAGACCTATTATGTGACATTCCCCACATTTAGAGGAGATGGAAACCTGAGAAGATAGCGAGGAATCTCTCCACCGGCGTAGACTACGGTTACTTCTCTGTAGGAATTGATGTAAAATATTTGGTCGCAGGTGAGCGTTCCTTCCGTGGTGTGACCCCAAACATCACTGCTCGTCATGTCCTTGTGAAATGATCAGTTTTTTTGCTTGTCCAGATGGACTTTGGAACCTGAAATGTGCATCATTCGATTTCCCGAAAAATACTATCGAATGGTGTACAACACAGGTTGCACACGGAACTTTTTCTCCTCATTGCCGATTGTCTTCCCAGATCTTGGCAGCCACGATTCACGTGCGCCTCGCCGACCCGCTGAACTCCGCTCTCAATTGACTATTTCATTGATTACTACTTAAGCTCAATTATCATTCGAAAAAGGTAAACAGCTGATATTCAAGTCATCGAATTTTTTCCCTCGACAACTCCAGAGCTAATCTACTGAACTCGCAGTGATGGAAGGCTGGTTGGACTGGACTGCGGGCCAACTGCTACTGATTTCCCGGTTTCCTGGACATCCAGGAACTGAATTATATGTTCAGGACAAACTCCGCCCACCTTGTGCATGCCCACCCACCAATAGCATTGACCTCCCTTCCGTTGACGACTCAATTCACTTTTTCCCGGTCTCCAGGACTTCTTGGAACCGAGTTATGAATTTTCGTCGCAAACTCCGCCCACTTTGGTCATGCCCCGCCCACCGATGACAGTTGGCCTCCACTCCTCCACCCACCTCTATCCACCTTTTCCGGCTCCCTAAGACTTTCCTGGCCGAATTATGAGGACTCGTAGAAAACGCTGTACAGATTATGTGAACGAGGAGTAAATTCAGCGACGAGTTCCTTTTAAACAAAGCGTTGAATCACTGTTTCCGTTCTTTTCACGGCTCATCATATTCTTCCCACTGCCTCGTAGTGACTGCCAAAATTCAAGAAGTATTCATTCAAAAAACTCATTTTCGATCCTTCGTTGTGAATAGAATGAGGTTCTCTCCCAGCACCTTCTTTAAATGACTGGAGGACGGAGTGGGACTAAAATTCGAAAGTGCGAGGAACTGTTCACGAGTTTTTAGCTGTAACTCAACAATTCAACTGATGCAGTGCCTTTCAATCGAGTGGCGTCCACGTAATATGTAGGCTATGTCTGGGGTTAAAGCGAGAGATTACGATAAGGGGAGTGTGGCAGGGAAGCAAATGCATCGCTGGAAGTAGAAGTGGACGGGCAAAGGAAGTGAGATGTTGCGTTCACAAAGGCAAAGGTTGCTGCGCACTAGGGCCGCTACCGTAGTCTGTGCTCCGCCTCGGCCTGTGCCCCGCCTCTCAATTTGGACGATGAAATGGCATTGGTCAGTGTGAGTAGCATCCTCGGTTGCGGCGCAGTTAAAGTGCTTTGCCTTGCGTATTTGCAATGTGGCGTCGTTGGGGGAAATAAGTCAGCTGTTGGATAATGTTTATGTCATGGGACTAACGGTTTTTTTGTTTAATAAGTCACTTGGGAAATTTTAATAATCTAGTCATGCAATGTGTGCAATGCATTGTGGTCACGCATATCATCTCATTATGAATTGGTGGTGCGTTGATTGTAAAAGTGGTTTTTGATGCATATGCATATGCCGTATGATGCACGAAACTGTGAGAGATTTCGAGCGTTTTGAGAGATGCGTTACCTCAAATTGGCGAAAATGTGACCATTCTGTGCTTTAGGTAGCCTAGAAAACTCAGCTGCTAAAATTATAGTTCAGTCCGCAAAGGCCAACAATATTAGGTACCGGATATCTTAGTGTCGCTTTTCCGAGTTCGGGAAGTTTGATCATTGATCGTTGATGCACAAACGCTTTAACGAAGTTGATTGCACAAGAAATTCTAATAAATGTGCTCATCTGCTACTCACGTGTGCTCAAAAAGGGTGCGTTTTTGACCCTATGTGGCAAAAAAGACTCCGGGAAAAATTGTCCAGTTGAGCTGGTAAGTTTAACTTTTCCACCATACAGTGCAGACCCTACTCTAACTAACTGTATACTTCTTTTGTCCAGGCCTAACTTTTTAGCAAGTGAGAGGGATGATTTGTCAGATGATGTCAAAACCGACCTACCTCTCTTTTTCGACTCAAAAAATTCCTAGCTTTAATCGTACGAGGTTTCCACTCATACTGGTAAATGGGAAAGTGCTAATGAGTCATTCGATGAATATGCTGTTTCACTCCCCGGATTCTGAATTAAAATATTGGTGGTCCGAAACTCGTGGTGAAAAAACGACACTAAGATATCCGGTACCTAATAGCTGCACATTTTAAAAATCTATTTGAATTGCAAATTAGTAAGAGATTCGGCGTCTCCTTGGACGTGTCACAATTTCGTCCCGAGGGGTTGAAATGCATTTCGAAGATCGTGAGCTGACCATCGAAGTGAACAGAGCAAAACCAAAGTGCCATGAGTCCAAGCAAGTGCATGTGTCAGTGGAGGCCAGAGCCACGACGACCATGAGAAGAGAGACCTTTTCATCATGCCCCCCCCCCTCACAAGATGGACTCGCTCCCGTTAAGTAAACGTGTTGATAATTTAGATGTGTGGATAAGTTCACATAGTGTATCATTCCATATTTATTCATCTAATTCACCACAGCTAATCATATCCATGATTTAGTGATCATCTGCGTAGCTTCTGGGTTCTTCCTGCCAACCTAGTAGTTGTTGTGGGTGTTACGGCCACTTATGCCATACGAAAATCTTGAAAGCCTAAATGAGATCGCATATAGCAGGGATAGGTATAACATAAGAATGAGATTAGCTCAGACGGACAAGTGACGAGGTAACAGTAGTGAGAGTAATACCTGACAACAGCTTGGTCGAGGAATCCTTTGAACGCCTTCTGCTCCTTTGGTGCCAAAGCGAACCGGTATTCACCATGCATCTGAAAATCACATTAAAAATTAAAGGATATAAAAATTGAAATTGGTGATATAAAAAGTACAGAACCAGAAATAAGACGAAGACTGTAGGAGTCTAATTTACAAATACGAGAGAGTTAGTTTGAAGCACTAGAGACCAACAAAAAACCACGCAACGTAATTTCCAAAGCTTTGTAATTTTTTCATGAGGAAAGACTTACGCAAGAGCTTCAGCAGTGTGCGTTCGAACTGAGCATGATGTCCATCCGATGAATAGGGCGGTTACGGTGGCTTCACCTCACGATGGTCCCTAAAAATGTCATCAGAAAATGGTAAAAAACCGGGAAATAAGAGAAGCGTTAAAGAATGATGGCTGGAGATGACACCATACCTATTGTAATAGTAATTTTCTGACATAATATGATGAATTCCACCAGGCAATGTTGGTTGCTCTGCTGGAGCAGGACGAGCGGATTATGTTTTGGGGAACCGTAACGGGTCATGATAACGAGCCTGTAATAAAGGAAAATCCACAAGGTCATGCGTTTTCTTCAGAGCAAGAAACCAAAGGGTGAGGTGAGGACGGATGAAGCTGTAGAATAGTGAAGTAACAAATGAATGATAATTACTAAGGCTGATAAAACCGAAATAGTGGAACATTCTGAGGAGAAGGCATATGTGGATGTGGTTAACTAGGACAGAATGCGACTTTTCCGCTGTTCGCAAGGCAATTTTTCCGCGAAAAAAGTATCTGCGGTTCTCGCGCGGAAAGTTTGGCACTGTGAAAAACTGGAAAGTCGCTTCTGATCTGGAAGCTACATCCGGAATAATTAGGCGTTAGGTAAGCTAGACAGGAATGTTATATAATCTCTGGGTAATTGACAAAGGCTTGTGGAAAGCCACGGCATAGGGAAGGGTAAAAATAGAAAGTCCGAAACAGAGCAATATATCACCAGGAGACCTCATGGCCTTCGGGGACTTCAAAACTAGGTCAATGTTAGGAGAAATTAGGCTCTAAGCAAACCAACAATTGAATTAGAATGGCAAGACTTGCGAAAACATACAATGTAACAAATCGAACTCATGCTAAACACTCACCAGCCTTGCATTCATCGATCCTTTCGCTGCTCTCATTCCTTAGCTGAAGAAGGCACTGAACACAATAAAATTCTTCCATGGACTTCAACATCTTCGAGTCCATCCGTAAAAACGGTTCATCAGACTACAATTGAGCCACTGAGACATAGCTTGAGCTGGTGTAAGAGTCCGCATTCCGTTGCAGGTTTATTCGCTGATTTCAGCAAATTTTCGCGATTTACGCGAGGGGTTATACGGTAACCACAAGTGCCCATCAATACTGCAAGGTGTTCTCTAATGCCGCCGCCACTTCTGCTTGATAGTGATGGCTGAATGACGACTGCCCTCATGATTCCACTTGTTTGATATTCAGTGTTTCAAACTGTTCAAATGGGGCACTTGCAATTTTTGCGATCCGAATCATCAGCATTTCAATGAACTGATAGACATTGAACATGAAACAAGTAGAATAACGAACAGTCGTCCTTTATTTTCTACTGTCAAGCAGAAATCGCAGCAGGATTAAACAGGACCTCGCAGCATCATCGGGCACTTCCAACTCCGGTAATCCATCGCAGGTTTCGCGCAAATCACACAAATCGCTGAAGTCTGCGAAACCTGCGACGGATCGCGGACTCAGACATCAGCCTTAAAGGCACGAGTCGGGATTGAATTGATGCGTTATTTTGTTCAAACATTAGGCAAGGGGTGCAATGAGGAACATTAGTGAGGAGAAAAAGCAAAAAGCACCATAGAAAACACTAAATTTCCCTTAGGAGGCCGGCCGTAGTACGACGGAGAGACACAGCGCTGCGAGGAGAGGGAGAACGCGAGATAGTACGTCGTACGCGAGAGACGCAGAGACCACGTATGCCGTGGTGGATTACGCTGGCAGCGCGGGCAGCGCGGCGGGCAAGACCTTAGCGTCCTTGCCGCGCACTTTCGGGTCGCGATCAGTTCCTGAGGAGCCCACTATCGCACCCTGGGAAGAACTTCTGTCGGTTGCCTAATCCTGACTCGTGGCTTTAACGATCACATATTTTGGCCTCCGACCCCGCAAAAGAACCTGTTCAAAGAAATCGTGGCCGGAGATGCGTGCCCGGGGGACTTTACGGGGGTTCCTTGTGGGACTGACCGACCACTGGCAGTCCTTTGACTCTGTGCTTCTATATTTAACAGTTTTAACATCACATATTCGTTCAAGTCATACTGCTACATTGATGTGATAATCAGAATACGGCACCAAAGCAACGAAGATGGATGCTGAAACAATAAACTTGCAATCGAAAACAGTGAGTGAATAATCACATACATCATGACACTCCAGCTAGAGCCATATGAAACGAATGCAGAACAACAAAAGGGGTAGACTGACGCGCTTAACAATATGGTAATATATACGTGAACCAATCTATAATCTAAATAGTGAAAAAGCGAATAACAAATAGAAAAATGAAATGGTCAGTCAGTGGCGGGTCGGTCCTACGACGAAGCCCCGATAAGTCCCCCAAACTTTCAACAAGGATAAGCATCTAGAGTCGAGGAAACCCATTTCCCCCTCATCATTCAGCATGTGGCCCTTTCTTTTGCTGCTTCCTTCGATTGTAGTTGGAGTTAGACAGTAGGTGGAGTTGGAGTTAGACATGGGGAAGGATTGCTCTTGCCTGGTCAGTCCTTATAATCTTGGTATGTAAAACTAAGAGTCTAATTGCGCAAAACAGCGAACTTTAATTCGAACGAATAATTACTCCTGTTAGAGTTCCTGTTTTAAAGACTCGCAGCGCACACTTTCCCGCTGAGAAAACTACTTGGAATGGATTGCTCACACCTAAACTAACTGAAGACCAAAGGAAATGCACTACACTCGATCGCGACATCAACATATCGAAGGAAGCAGCAAACTTGAATGATGTAGAAGGGAGAGTAGACGGTTCGAGCAACAAACAAAAGAAAAAAGTTACAAATGAAACAGCCTACCAAATCACTCGGCTTGTATGTTTTCAGGTGTAGGTTTAGGCGCTAGATTCTCCCGCAACCTAAAAAAACGTTCCACAACAATCTAGTTAGTTATACACAAGAGAGAAGTTTTAGAAAAATGCCACGAATAGTGAAAACAAATTTAAAAAAACACGATACTCGCGAACATAAGAAAAAACAAATTAGAAACAGCTGATGGTATCGACTGGGTGAGGCTGACCTTAGCACGCTGTCCTTCCCTCTGGGACAACTCGTCCAGCTAGCGACTACGTTGGCCGAGGCACTGCGGACCGCCCACTACCAACGACCTTAATGATGGTCCCATTTTGCGTATTCTTGACATTTCTGGCTGCTTTTTCTCCACAGCCACACTATTTAGCACCCCCTCTTTCACTTCAGGTCTAACCATATCCTATCGTAATCTCTCGCTTTAAACTTGATGGTAGCATTACGAAGCGGGCAATATACGAGGAATTCAAATGAGTGAATTTCAAGTCAAAATGGGAACTCCTGCTTGTTGTCGTGTATCTATTACCAGACTTGAAAGTAAACTTTCCTAAATAATAACCGCTGAATTTTCACGCAGTTTCTTCTGCACGTACTTTTATACACGAATGGGCACAATGTTTTCTGCGCTTGACTATATGGAAAAGCAGTTATAAAGTCGTTGTAGAAGAACATCCGCCATTATATAAAGCGTTTCAAAGTGAGGATTTCATTACTGAAGTAAGATGGTCATTTGTTCTAAGTACTTCTTTAAGTCGTACCTTGATTATTCATACAGTAACGCAATTTCTTCGAACGTAATTCGACATGATACCAGGAAACAACAAGGGAATCCCTTCCCTCCGTCATTCGAAACAAGCAAAGTTGTCAGTCGAAAAGCATATCGTGTGACATCAGAAGTGTCCTTAAATACCGTCCGTTACATCTAAACATTTCAAGCAATTTTCTGCCACTCCCCGTGAGCTGTGCTAGAATAATTGCGGACTCATTACATTACATATTATTACACACAATGATCCCTGCGATTTTCTCTCAAAATCTCTTACCAAATACAAGACCATCCCCAGTGGGATCAGAAGATCTCATGTAAATTGAACCGCGATGACTGCAGACAACTTTAAAAACTCTTCGATATGAATTTTTATACAATATATCCAAGCCGTTTCTTCACATCAGTGGAAATACCCCAACAAAAATTAATTCAAATCCTAATTGGTGTCTTTTAAGCTAGTATAACATATACGTGCCTGCATGCGGAAGACCATATTACAACATTTCGACAATTTTATCTTCATTTTCCGTAGGAAGCGGAAAGGAAGCGGTGGTCAGCGAGTGACTATATGTTCAAAGCATCCAGTGTGAAAACACTTCCATCACCACCTCGTTCTTGCGGCAAAAGTGAAGATCAGGTTGTTGACCTTCTTCCTAAAAAAAGCTGTACAATACTGCGGATCCGTTGTGGCGTCCCAACGCTGACGCGATGCCGAGATGTCAACTTCCTTTGCTGTCTAGCGTGTTGGCAAACATAAGTGATCGATCTTCCAGTCGACGATTCATGTGAGTCTTTTATCGCCAACAAAGTCCTAGAGAAGCTCCGTCGCGTGTTTCACACTAGAATGTCAGGGATGCTCTTCGCCTACACTGCGACCAGGGTCAAGCGAGGCGTTGAGGAGAATTTTGAAATTCCACTCCCTCCCGCCACCCCAGCGGCTGAAGTTGCAGAAGTGCATATGCACTACCCCTCCTCCATAGGAAAAGTGTAACTGTATACGTTGCCTCGTAGCGTGTGTTTTGTGATTGTGATCAATTGTGTGACTTTGTGAGTGTATTATGTACTAACTTATAACATGTTTAGAAATCACTATTCGCAATGAACCTTCTGCAATTTATTCGGCGTAAATCTCCACGATTTTTTGTATTTTAAAGAGTACAACCACTTTTCAACATCGAAAACTACATTAAAAAAGTAACAGTAGTAGAAGTAAGAAAACGAACTTCAGAGTACATCAGAACACAATACCCTTAATCAAGATTATTAGAAAAGTTGAGCAGGTTGCACAAGAGGAATCGTGCGACGGCACGGGCGGTGCAGAGGGCTTCAATTCCTGACTGTCCTTACGCTTCCTGTTAGGTCGAGTCCCTCACACAAGAAATACGTGTTCCCGAGGATGTATGCCTTAGAAAGAGAGTGATCTTTCATACGAAAGAGGGCAATAAAAATTTAACTTAGTATCAAAGAGTAAGCGATGCAGAGTGCAATAATGGTAGACACGAGCAAAATCTGCCCAGCGAAGGCGGCGAAGATGATCGAGTCAGTATCGCATTCGACTGCGTCCTCCGCGCCCTCTGCGCCCTTGACAAGGGGCTGGAGTTGCTTTGGAATGCCAGTCGTGCCAAAAAAGAGATCAAAGAAGCTTCTATAAAAGCGTTTAATTTGAACAAAAAAAAACTAAGCCGATGTAGAAATTGTCCTAGTCTTGAATTAACTGATGTAATCAACTGAAATCTGACTCAACTCTCAATCATATGACATGTAATCAGTGTTAAACGCGCATATCAAATACATGTATTGATGAACGAACCCGTAAACGACCATGAACGAACCCGTAAACTGCAAAACGTCCTACGCGAAAACAACGGCTACCAGAAAAACCAGAAGAAATGTTGGCATAAGAATAACGAAGCAAAAAAATAAGTGAAACAGCGATTATATCAAATAAAATTACTAATGAACTCACCCGTAAGCGACTCCACTGCGCAAAAACAATGACTGCCTGAAAAAAATCAACGAAGAAGTTGGCATAGGGAGCATTCACTCGGTTCATGTTCTCGTTTCTGATAGCGTGACCTCCAAATCAACGAAGATGACCAGTGACAGAGACGAAATAGTTCAGCCTTAAAAGCAGTTCATTTATTACATTTAAAATTCTAGGAATTCCTATCACCTACGGCGCCTCCAATTCCTCTAACAATCTCCTCTGCACATACGACCCCTTCCTCCCAGCCCAGCCGGCCAAACACGACCCCCCTCCCCCGTTGAGGATTCCTCGACGCACTTTGAGCAGTAGACCGCA